CGCCGTCCGTCGTGGGCCCCGGCGGCTCCTTCTCGGTCCCCCGCGGCTGCAGGGCCTCCTCCCCGGGCTGCGTCTCCAGGGTCTCCACCGTCACCGTGGTGAAATAGGTGTAGCCGCCGCCGCCCCCGCCCCCGCCGCCGCCCCCGGGGCCGCCCCCGGCGCCTCCAGCCGCCACGGGGTCCACGGCCGAGACGTTGAGCGTGGCCGAGGCGGTGGTGTTGCCGGCCGAGTTCGTCACCATGCAGGTGTACTGGCCCGTGTCCTGCACGGTGACGTTGGTGAAGTTGAGCGTGCCGTCGTGCAGGACGGAGATGCGCACGCGGTAGGAGCCGTGGGTCATGAGGGTGCCGTTGGGCGTCAGCCAGTTGACGGAGGTCATGGACGTGCCCGTGCGGCACTTGAGCTCGGCGGCCATGCCCTCGGTGACGTTGAGGTCCGTGGGCGGCTCCACGATGACGGGAGCGTAGCAGGTGAAGTGCGACTGGTCCAGCTCGCCGATGTAGCGACCCTTGAGGCCGGCGGGCGCGTGGCAGCGCGCGCAGCACGTCGTGTTGCTGGGCACCGTCTCCTTGAGCCACCAGCTCAGCCAGAGCACGTCGCAGTTGCAGTGCCAGGGGTTGTGGTTCAGGTGGACACGCTCGAGGCGGTGCAGGGGCGTGAAGAGGTCGTGGGGCAGCGACATCAGGTTGTTGTGGGACAGGTTGAGCTCCTCCAGCGACTTGAGGTCGTCGAAGGCGTTGCGCTCGATGGTGGCCACCTGGGCGTGCATCAGCCACAGCTTGCGCAGGCTGGTCAGGCCCTGGAAGGAGCCCGGGCGGATGAGGTCCAGCCGGTTGCCCGACAGCTCCAGCTCCTCCAGGCGCAGCAGGGCCGTCAGGTTGGGGATGTCCTTGAGGTTGCACATGCCCAGGTTGAGGTACCGCAGGTTCACCAGGCCCTCGAAGGCTGCCTCGGAGATGTACTCCAGCCGCTTGAGCTCGCCCAGGTCGAGGCGGCGCAGCGAGGGCACGCGGTTGAAGGCGTACGACGGGATGCTCTCGATGGGGTTGTTCCGCAGCCAGAGCTCCCGCAGCTTGGACAGGTACTCGAAGGCCTGCGTGGGCACTGTTGTCAGCCGGTTGTCGAACAGCTCCAGGGTGTTGAGGCTGGGCAGCCCGTTGAAGGCACCCACCTCGATCTTGCGCACCAGGTTCTTACTCAGCTGCAGGATCTCCAGGTGCCGCAGGTGCTTGAATGTGTCCGTCCGGATCACCTGGGGTCGGGGAGGGGCGACACCATCAGTGATACTGGTACTAACGGAGTCGACCACAGAGGGTTTTTAAAATTTTTTATTTTATTAAAGTATAGCTTATTTATTTATTTATCTATTTTCTGGCCGTGCCCTGTGGCTTGCGGGATCTTAGTTCCCCAACCAGGGATGGAACCCGAGTCCCCTGCGGTGGAAGCGCGGACTCCTAACCACTGGACCGCCAGGGGAGTCCCTAAAGTATAGTTGATTTAATGTTAATTTCTAATGTAAAGCAAAGTCATTCAGTTGTACATATATGAAAATATATGTACATATTCATGTATGAAAAAGAGTATATATACACATTCTTTTTCATATTCTCTTCCATGATGGTTTATCACAGGATATTGAATATAGTTCTCTGTGCTATACGGTAAGACCTTGTTGTTTATCCATTCTATATATAATACTTTGCATCTGCTAATCCCAAACTCCCACTCCAACCCTCCCCCCTCCCCCCTCCCCCCCTGGCAACCACGCGTCTGTTCTCTATGTCTGGATCACAGAGTTTTGAGTGCTGGTGAGGGTGCTGAGCCTCCCCGTCTCTCCACCTTTGCTGTAAGACCATGAGCTCACTGTGGAAAGCAGTTTGATGGTTTCTTATAAAGTTAAACAGAGAGTTAGTTACACAGGACCCGGCCATTCTACGCCCAAGTGTTTCCCCAAGAGAAGTGACAGCAGATATCCATCCAAAGGCCTGTGACGGGTGCTTGCAGCATCTGTGTTCATTACAGCCTAAGCCGGAAATGACCCAGTGTCCGGCAGCAGGTGAAGGACCCACGCTCTGTGTCTGTAGGATGGAACAGTATGGCTCAGCAATGACAAGGAATGAACTTTCCACACGATGACTTGGATGGATCTCACGGGCGTCAGGTTAAGCAAAAGCAGCCAGATGGAAAGGAGCACATGCCGTAGGACCCTGTCCATTCCACAAGCGTGTGTGTGTGTGTGTGTGTGTGTGTGTGTGTGTGTGTGTGTCTGTATGTGTGTTGGGGCAGGGGGAGGACAGTCTGGGAAGGGGCACGAGAGAACTTTCCGGGATGATAGAAATGTCCCTAGTTGGGGTGGTGCCTACAAGGGTGAATGTTAACTGTCAAAACTCCCCACACTGGGGACTTCCCTCGTGGTCCAGTGGTTAAGAATCCACCTTCCAATGCAAGGGATGTGGATTCGATCCCTGGTAGGGGAAATAAGACCCCACATGCCGTGGGGCAAATAAGCCTGTGCACCAACCAAGCCTGCGGCGCATTACAGCTAGAGAGAAGCCCGCGTGCCACGACGAAGAGCCCGCATGCCACAACTAAGACCTGATGGGGCCAAATAAATAAATATTAAAAAGAAAACAAAACTCCCCAAACTGTACCCATAACATGAGAGGCATTTTATTCTATGTAAATTACACCTCAATCAAAAAGATTAAAAATAGAGAACTCCCTGGCGGCCCAGTGGTTAGGACTCTGCGCTCTCCCTGTGGAGGGCCTGGGTTCGATCCCTGGTTGGGGAACTAAAATCCCACAAGCTGTGTGGCATGGCCAAAAAAAAAAGATTAAAAATAGTTATACCAGCAGCTAACATGCATCGGGCACTTCCTGGGTGCCAGACGCTGTTCTAAGTGCTTTAGAGCCGACAACTCAATCCTCCAAACTGCCCTGTGAGATAGGTACTTATTCAATACACACAACTCTGAAATCCGCAGAGCTCTGAAAACCACATTTCTCATAACTTTGGCACCAAACCTGATCAGAACTCATGTAAAGCTGTTTAAAGCTTTTATTGATCCCACACATGTGACTATTCAAAGATTCCACTCTAGAAACATACCCAGATTTCATAAGGGGTATAAGATCCACTGGGGTGCTGTAAAAATCTATGCTGTATATTAATACCTTTCTAATATCAGATGCCCAAACTCAACTAGCCTCAAGTGTTTCACATGAGGGATTAAGAATTATCTCCATCTAAGCGGGAGGAGATGGAGGCACAGAGAGGTGCAGTGACTTGCCCAGGGATGCACAGGAGGGGCTGGCAGATCTGGGATTGGACCGAGCTTGTCTGGCTCCAGAGTCACGGCTCTTAATCCCTGAACTTGGCTGCCACCTTTCAGGGCTGAGGCTGATGCACCACAGAAGGGGCAGTGTTGGGCTGGGCATGGAAGGCAGAATCTTACCAGATTCTCCCCACTGATCACTGAGCCAGGTACACTGAGGCACAGAAGACCATGCAGCCATCAGATAGCATTTCTGAAGCCTAGTTAATGCCATGGAAACACTTGCATTATAATATTAAGGGGATAATGGTGAACTCTAGGTAGCATACTCTGTGCTTGTCACTTTGTGGAACTAAAAAAAGCAGCTGAGGAATTAGGTATCTGCATATATGCACCAAGAAAGGACTGCAAGGAAATGCCCTAACCACTTCTTAGTGGTGAACTCCAGCTGATGAGGATTATGGGCAATTTTAACTCGTTAGTTTTTTCTTTAATGAACAAAAATTACTGTTTTTTTTTTTTTTGGCCGTGCTGTGCGGTATGTGGGATCCTAGTTCCCCGACCAGGGGTCGAACCCGCGCCCCTGAAGTGGAAGTGCAGAGCTTTAACCACTGGACCGCCAGGGAAGTCCCCCAAATTATTTTTAAGTAGAAAAACACTGTAAAAACTTTAAGAAAAGACTCTAGCTGGGAGGCACCCAGCATAAGGAAAATAATATTCCTGGTACAGTTATCATCATAAGACAATAACAGCCACCATTTCTGCCAGCGCGATCCAACAGAAATAGGACACCAGCTACCTGTTTAATTTTAAATTTCCTAGAGGCTACATTAAAAAATAAACCAAGACAGATGAAACCAATTTTAATAATTGATTAGCCCAATAGGTCCAAAATATTATGATTTCAACATGTAACCAAGAGGGAAACTTACAAATGAGATATTTTACTCTCTTTTCACACTAAGTCTTCGGGGGTCCGATGTGTGTTTCACAATCCACGCCCTCAGCAGCAGGTCCTGCATTTCCCCTCAATAACAGTATATTGTGAGCGTGTTCCCATATCATGGGTATGCTTCTAAAACCTGACTTCCGCGGCCACCTAGAATCCCTCCCCGGGGCTACACCTCCTTTCTGATATTGAGATGGAATTGACAAGGTCAGTTTTTTGTTGTTGTTGTTGTTTGTTTGTTTGCGGTATGCGGGCCTCTCACTGTTGTGGCCTCTCCCGCTGCGGAGCACAGGCTCAGCGGCCATGGCTCACAGGCCCAGCCGCTCCGCGGCATGTGGGATCTTCCCGGACCGGGGCACGAACCCGTGTCCGCTACATCGGCAGGCGGACTCCCAACCACTGCGCCACCAGGGAAGCCCTGACAAGGTCAGTTTTTTATTTTCCTTAACATGCTTCCGCCTCCTCTCATTTCTGGCAGCGAACACGGGCTAATCTTTAGAACTGGACGAGGATCACGAGGGCTGGCCTGGGGTCTCCGCAGCCTGCCGGCGGTGTGGCCGATGCGGCCGTGCCTGTGTGCGGTGAGAAGGGGGCGCCGGAGAGCCTTGGCCTGACAGCCCTCGGGCCCTGGAGCCGCAGCTCTGCTGCGTGGGCCGCTGGAGCCTTGGTTTCCTCCTCTGAGAGACCCCGGGAAGAGCCCAGCCCCTCGCCTCCCACCGTGTTCTCTTGCTGCCTGTCCATCCCGTGAGGTTCTAAACAACAGCACAACGAAAAGCTTTCCTGATCAAACAGTCTGGCCCCTTTGCTTTACTCGACTCTTGAGTTTCCCAAATATAATAACCCGAGAACCCTTCTCACAGGCTGCCTTTTATCACTGCCCCGGGAAACGCTGGCAAAGCACCAAGCAGGCCTCTAGTTGCTGTTTCTAATAATAATAATAGTGGTAATAATAATAAGAGGACCCAGGCATTACTAATCGCTAGGGAGAGAATGAAGTAATGATCCAGTCATTACTAATCGCTAGGGAGAGAATGAAGTCTGAAGGTCAGACTTGAGGGTTTCGACGGACAAATTGAGAACGAAGGGATTGCTGGCCCAGGTGTTGGAGTCGCCCCCTTGCCTGGTCTGAGTCACATGTAGTTCCGGGGGCTCCCCAGTTCCCAGCAAACCCATCTGCATGCCCTACCCTGCCCCCGCTCCTCCCGGGGTTCCTGTTCTCAGCGGGGCCCCTCCAGCCTGCCTTCCCAGTCGAAAGCGGGCCTGCAGCCTAGAGCCCCCTGCATCCTCCACGGCCTCCCCTTGTTAGGGTTAGTCAGCCAGCAAGCCTGCCGGTTCTCATCCTTTTGAATGTCTCATCTTCTCTGTCCCCACAGTACAGCTCAGGCCTCAAACTGCCTGGCCTCCAGTCTCTCCCCTCAAGTTCATCTCCAGGGCCTTGCCACACCCAGAGCTGGCCCTGCCTCTGCTTTCCTCTAGAGCCCTCCGTGGCTCCCCAGTGCCCTCCAAGGAAATTCAGCCTGCCTTGGAAGCCCCGCTTGGCCTCGCCTGTAGGCTCCCCTCACTTGCAGCCCTCACTCTGGCTACATTTCAGCCAGTATCAACTTCTTGGAGCTATCTCACAGGCACTCCTCCTTTGCATACACTCTTCCCTCTACTCAGAATTCCCTTCCCTTTTCATCCACCTCGGAAAGCCCTGCTCACTCCCTCGGACCCAGCCCAAATGTCTCACACCCATCCATCCATGCTTATTTATTTATTTATTTTTTGCGGTACGCGGGCCTCTCACTGTTGTGGCCTCTCCCGCCGCGGAGCACAGGCTCCGGACGCGCAGGCTCAGCGGCCATGGCTCACGGGCCCAGCCGCTCCGCGGCATGTGGAATCTTCCCGGACCGGGGCACGAACCCGTGTCCCCTGCATCGGCAGGTGGACTCTCAACCACTGCGCCGCCAGGGAAGCCCATCGCTTATTTATTGAACGGGGATAAAGGAGTTCTGAAGGGGCAAATGGAGGAGGACCATTCTCTGTGGAAGGGCGTTGTAATGTCAGCCCTGCAGAGCTGTTTCGAGGATGCGAGGTAATCGGTGAGATTCGCTCAGCACAAGGCTTGGCACTTCCAGGTGGCATCTGGGCTGCAGTGATGAATGCCAGGCTCTGGGCTGGGTGTCCCCATCCGTCAGCTCAGCTTGTCCCCACCAGCCCTGCAGGGCAGGTGTTGTTAGCTCACTTTCACAGGAGGAACCACTCAGCGAGGTTACTCGATGAGGGGTTTGAACCTGGGCAGCACACAGGCCAGCATCGTGCCCCGTTTCAGAGATCAGGAGCTGAGGCTCAGTGAGGTCAAGCGACTCAGCAGGGCTGTTCACCTTCCCCGGGGGAAGTGGGAAGCCTGCAGCTGGGAGTCCAGCCCAGGTCTCCCTGATCCTCTGGACAAAGCAACTGAAACTACACCGTGTCCATAAGGTGCGTCCTGGCAGAGCCCGAGGCTGCGGCTGCTCCACGTGCTTTGTCCCAGTTGCGATGAGAAGGGGGTGTGTGAAGGGAGATGCAGGGGCACTCCCAAAGCGGGTGGGGTCCCCCCCCCCCCCCAGCCACTTGAATGATGCACTTGGGAATAAGCAGGACGGGGGTGTTGCTGAGAAGGGAAGTCTGGTTTTATTGAGGATGTGCTGTAGGATTGCTTAAAATAGTGAGTCCCTTTATTTTTAACAGGATTCCAGTCTTTTCTCCCTCCTCCTCTCTGCAGGGTGACTGGGGAGTAGCCTAGTGGGCGGGGTGGTGGTGGTGGTGGTGGTGGTGGTGGTGGAGTCAGGGCTGGGTCTGAATCTCGGCTTTGCTGTTGACCAGCTGTGTGAACTTGGCTGAGTGTCCTAACGTCTCTGAGCCCACTTTCCTCGCAGGTCCTGCGGGGTTATTGTGAGGCTTGACAAGACAGTGAATGCTTGGGACATGGCAAGCAGGCAATAATACATATTTTTAAATTGTTGATGCAGCTGATAATGATCATTAACAACTGTCCTGCCTCTGGGCTTCCAGTTTCTTCCCCAGCCTCTTTCCTCTACATCAGCTGTCAGAATTGTCTAAGATGCAGTTCAGACCCTGCCAAATCCCTGCTCACAGCCCTCCCATGGCTCCCTATGACCCTCAGCCTGGTGTCAGAGGCTCTGCAGGACCTGCCCCACTGGCCTCTCCTCTACTCCAGCCACAGGGAGATGTATGGGGTTCTATACGCTCACCAGGCTCTGCTCAGCCTCTCTGCCTTTGCACAGGCTGTGCCCTCTGCCTGGAACGCCATCTTCCCCCTAGTTCTCTGGGATGTTCCAATCGCTGTCTGCCAGGAGGCTCTCTTTGGCCTCCTGTTCACTGACTCATCACAGGCATACTCTTACCAGACCCTTATCACTCTGGTTCAATGCATCTGTCTCCTTGTCTAGGCTGTGAGTCTTCATGAGTAGAGACTCCATCTGAATCATTTCTGCATTCCCCGCACTCAGGTCAAGGCCTAGTTCATGGAGGACTTCAGAACGGACAAGGCTCATATTTGGAGAGTACCCACTGTGTGAGTCAAGTGCCTGCATGGCTTTTGGCCTGGGTGACAGCACCCAAAATGTTGAAATCCTCAGTGACAGAACTTGGGAGCTGAAAGAGCACCAGTGTTCTGTTTTTAGTTCTGTTTCCAACTTATTCTTCTTTTGGCCTTAAAGTCCATGTGTCTGATATTATTAAAGACACACCAGCTTTCTTTAGGTTATAGTGTTTGCCATCATTTTTGCTTTCATCCTTTCTGTCTTTATGTTTTAGGTATGTCTCTTGGATTTTGTTTTTAATTCAGTCTGAAAATCTCTGTCTTTTGACAGGAAGTTTAGTGTGTTTACATTTATTGTAATGACTAATCTATTTGGAATTATTCTTCCTATGTTTTTTCACGCTTTTTATTTGTCCTGATTTTTTTTTTTTTTGCAGCCTATTCATTCCCCTTTCCTATGACCTTCTGCAAAGATCGAGTTTCTTATTCTATTTCCCCCATTTACTATCTTAGGATTTATGTATTTTCTCTTCTTTTAGTGGTTAGCCTTAAGATTTAACATGCATACCTAAAGACCAAAGCCAATCAGCTGCTCTCCTCTTCTTCCAAACAATACAAGGCTGATCCCATCTCTGACTCTGACAAAGTGCCATCTAGGGCGGGTTTCGAATAAGGGAAAAGGGGGGACCCAGTATTTGTTAAGTGCCTAGTATTCACTGGACCCTGTGCTAAACACTCTGAGGTCATGATCTCCTTTAATCCTTGTGGAAATCCTGTCACATGGAGATTATCAAACACATGTCCCTGCCTTCCTTCTTCATATTTGATGGTTTACAGCCGAGGGAATGGAGGTTCACTGAGGTAAAGTCATTTGCCCTCAGTCTCACAGCTCCAAAGTAGCAGAACTAGGACTCAAAGTCGGCTTCTCCTGAATCTAAACACCAGGTCTCCACCATGCCCACCCACCTAAACCAAGAGGGTTGGGCTGTGTGTGGGTTTTGATGTGTTTTTTGAGCTGCAGAGCCCGTTCATTATTCAAACATTACCCATGTGGCGATTTGCTCATTTGACAGATATTCTTTGAGTGCCTGCTATGTGTCAAGCATCATGCCGGTTCTGGGGATCCAGCATGGACAAGACAGCCATAGCCAAATTCCCAGAGCCTGACCTTAAGAGGGGAAGAGAAACACTAAACATATTATTATGCAGATGATCATTTAAGCGGTAATAGTATAAAGAGATCTGGATCTCTGGGAGCTGCCCTGGTTGCAGGGGGAGAGGCAGGCCTGTGGCCCCTTCACAGCACAATTTGAAACCCCTGAGGCCAGATGATCTCAAATCCTCTTTGATGCCGAGGGCCTGCTCACTGACACAGAGCGGGATAGACAAGGTGGGGACTGGTTCTCGGAGCAGGCAAATCCCCCTGCCCTCCCAGCCTGACATCTTTGGCCTGATAGGACGCTGACATCCTGTGATGTGGCAGAGGAGCTGGGCCTGGGGTCCTAACTACCCAAGTCACCAAATCCCCTCCCTCCTTCAGCCCACGTTTGCTAAGCCCTCCCCAACCTGTGCGCCCGGCTCTGTGCTGATTGCCAAGGATGCAAACACCAGTCAGGCACCGGAACATGGTCCCATCAATGACCACCTCCCAACCTGACGGGGGCTTCTCCCCTCTCTTTCCAACCTGTAACTTGGCCTATTATTTAGGGGACTTTCCACTTTGGTGGTGGTAGGTAAAGGCTACTAACTCTAGAAAAAACCCCATTGTGTTCTGTTGGGATTTTTAAGAAAATAAACTGTCAAGAAATCCCTTATTAAAAATTTAACTGTGGTTGGAAAATGATGAAGTGAATTGTTCATCTTAACACTATTAAGATAAATTGCGTATATGGGTTTTGAATGTAATGAACCGATAACAAAAGTTTAGTAAGCTTACTGTTGGTTTTTTTTTTAATCTCGTTAATTATTTTACGTTCATAATTTAAAAGCCTTTTTTTTTTTTTTTTTTTTTTCCATACCGGCTGTTTTTATGACAACTCCTCATATTTCTGCCTTCTCTGAGACCAGGGACTTGTGCCTCGCTTTTCAGTAGGGATTTCCCTGACCGCCAGGGTGTGGCCAGAGCCGGGCAAGCATGGGGGCCAGTGTAGGCCCCTGCCTTTGCTCACTGAGCTCCCCCCACCCCGCCCCAGGCCTAGACTCGGCCTCCTGGGGCCTCAGTCTCCTCTGTAACGTGGGGACAGGGGCCCTGAGGACTAAGAGAGAACAAGCATGTACCACGACAACACAGCCCAGCCCAGGGGCAGGGTGGCCACTCAGAATGCAGCACCCTCTCCATCCTCGCCGTTAGCCCCTCACCGCCAAAAACAAATCCTAAATTTGTCCCCGTTAGGAGGTTCCAGGCCATGCCAGGCAACCCATCTAACAGGGGAGGGGGGCATCCTAGAGGCTCCATGTCCCACCCCCAGCAGCCATCCTGGGCGAGGGCAGATGGAACCAGCCTCTGCCCCCACCATGGGCTGGCCAACCTCAGCTACAGGAGGCAGGCAGGAAGGGCTCTGGCCAGAGCGAGAGAGGAGAGAGCCTGATCCCCACGGGTCCTTAGCTCCCCAAATGACCACTGTGCTCAGACAGACCTGTCTCATCCCCGGCCCCCAACCCTGCCCGGCTGTCATTGCAGGTTGAGCCCTGCGGCCTGGTGGTTAAAGCTCTGGGGTCACACAGCTGGAGTCCTGATCCAAACTGCCCTTTACTGCCTCTGTGACTTGGAGCAAATTTCAGACCTATTGAGGCCACTTCCCCATCTGTACAGTGGGGCTTATAAGATCTACGTCCTAGAATTGGTGAGAGGTTGCCCTCAACCCCCAACCCAGGAGCCCAGATGAGTATGTAAACCTACGTGCAGAAAATGCAGGGGCGAGCTCTATGCCAGAAGGGGGTGCCAGCCGCTAAGTGCACCCCAGCTTTGCCTAAGATGGTGGGTGGGGGGGAGTGGGGAAGTGGGGTTAGGCTTAGGCTCAGGCCACGCCCCCTCCCCCACTTGCACCTCCGTCTCCTGCTTGACAGTTTCACTCAGCTCATCTCCATCTAAAACACACCGGCATTGGAATTCCCTGGCGGTCCAGTGGTTAGGGCTCCATGCTTCCACTGCAGGGAGCACGGGTTTGATCCCTGGTCGGGGAACTAAGATCCCACATGCCGTGTGGCACAGCCCAGAACACCAGCATTGGGACTTCCCTGGTGGCGCAGCAGTTAAGAACCTGCCTGCCAATGCAGGGGACACGGGTTCGAGCCCTGGTTTGGGAAGATCCCACATGCTGCGGAGCAACTAAGCCCGCGCGCCACAACTACTGAAGCCTGCACGCTTAGAGCCTGGGCTCCGCAACAAGAGAAGCCACCACAATGAGAAGCCCGCGCACCTCAACAAAGAATAGTGCCCGCTCACGGCAACTAGAGGAAGCCCGTGCACAGCAACGAAGACCCAACGCAGCCAAAAATAAATAAATAAATAAATATAAATAAATAACAAAACAAACAAACAAACAAAACACTGGTATTGTGCTGTGCACCTCCTGCACTGTCTCTGTTTCCTCCCAGCTTCACCAGGGCAGGGACGTGAATCTGTCCTGCTCACTGTGCCTACAGCAGTGCCTGGCACACAATAGGTGCTTAATAAATGAATCAGGTATGTGAACTGGGTGATGGACTAGCCAGGGCCGGTCAGACACAGGAGGGACAGGCAGTGTAGGGAGAGGGACGCATGAGTCTCAGCCTCCTCTCAGTCGGAGCCTGTTTCCAGGTGGAGACTTCATGGTGGCATCTTGAGGATCACACCTGTGCCCGGTGTGGGCAAGCACAGAAGGTGACTTTTGTCTATTCAGGGACAGCGTGTTTTCCGAAGGGAGGGAAGGGTGTCCGAGCCCAGCAGGGGGCGTCCCTGAGTAAGGTGTGGCTGGGACACCCAGTTTGAGAAGGGTCTTCTCTTGGGGGAACATGGGCCGTTTTAAAGCCCAGGAATGACGTGATGACTCTGGCTGAGGGTGGGGGAACAGACTGTGGCCAGGTGGCCGGGAGGAAGCTGGGGGGAGTGTCCTGATGGGCAAGGTCAGGCCAGAGCAGGGACTCCGGAGATGGAGTCAGGACTCGATTACAGTTCTGTCATCAGTTCTCCAGGGCGGAGAGCCCAGTAGCTACGAATTAGGAAGCATCAGGAATGGCACTGAAGAACCCAAGGCAATCTACAGATTCGATGCAATCCCTATCAAATCACCAACGGCATTTTTCACAGAACCTGAACAAAAAATTTAAAAATTCGTATGGAACACAAATGACCCTGAATACCCAAAGTGATCCTGAGAAAGAAAAACAGAGCTGGAGGAATCAGACTCCCTGACTTCAGACTACACTACAAAGCTATAGTAATCAAAACAGTATGGTACTGGCACAAAAACAGAAATACAGATCAAAGGAATGGTGCTGAAGAAATCCAGTCTTTTGGCAGCCTGCCTGCCTGGGCTAAGTCCCAATTCCACTGACTGTGGCCTCTTGCACCAGAGTCTTACTCCTGCACCTCAGTTTCCTCATCTGTACAATGGGGATAAGAACAGGCCCTGCTCACAGGGTCGCCGTGGGAAGGGCCTGGAGCAGTGCTGGGGCTGCATGAATCGTATCCCACTTTCTGCCTCTGAGGCCCTCAGTCTGCTCAACTGAGAAGTGGGGGTGAGAGATGGGCCTGTGGTGAGGTTCAGAGGCCACATGGCTCGGCAAGA